ATCTAGGAAGTAGGAAGAACTTCAGCCGTGTACTATCTGTACACTTGCAGTGGCATAGAGGGGAATTATTTTACTTTAAATTGATCTGGGGTGGGGAACCTGTGGCCTTGGGGCTACACGTGGCCTTCTGGATTCTTGAACATGGCCTTTTGACTAAATCCAGACTTTACAGAACAAATCCTCTTAAAGGGATTTGCCTACTCATTTGCCTTTGTGTCCCTCAAGAAATATCACATAAACCATGTTTACAAACATCTTTTAAGGCAACACCAGAAATCTCCTTTGCAAGTCATCACCATATGTCAGGTTACAGGTTAAGTGCTTATAGCCTGAATCTGACAGCTAATTTTAAAGCAGTAACTCGTGTCAAAGGATGGACATGGGAAGAGAGATTCTGGCCTACTTCCTCCTCTCAACTCTAAACTCCTAACCCCAATCAGAGCTTTAAGAAACTAAAGATACTGCCCGCTCTCTGGAGACAGGTAGGTGTGTGAGTTCCCTAACCCTAACCCACAACAACAGAAACTGAAGAAAAGGCTAAGAATCACTTCTTGGACACCGGTGTGTGTAGCCATGGTTCTAAAACCTCCATCAGTAATGTCACAATGGGCAGAGAGGCCAGACTCGTGTCCCCAAAAGTGGCTGATCACAGGGGTGATGCCCAATCTTGGGAGGGTGCGGAGTGAGTAGGGTAGTTTGACAAACTCCTTGTCACAACTCCAAGAGTGTGTGCTTCTGCTTTCTGCTTTTATAGAGAGAGCCAGGGGTGAGATGCGCCCAACCAGGTTCCCCTTGAGAAATTGGAGGAAAAAAGATCAGTAATCACCCGGTCCATCCCATTGCGTTTTGTTCACTTTGGCCCTGCTATGTAGCTCTCCCTGAAACTGAAACTTGCCCTCGCCCTTCAAAGCACCTCCAAATCTCACCTCTCCACAATCTGGTCTGCTGATAGCTGCTTTAAAAGTGGTCTAGCCTGTCAGTTCCTCTGCCACTGTTCCCCATCCTCCACTGGTGATGAATCCAGGCTCACCTCCAGGCAGCGCACCTTTATGGAACACCTTCCTCTCCACTCTCAGCCTCTCTTCCCTCCCAGACCCCTTCGTGCCTTAGTCGGCCCTGCCTGGCCCAAGGCACCCTACACTGCTCCTTTCTGTTCTGTCCAGGCATTCTGGGAGGCCCGCCTCCTAATCTTCCAGGAGCTGTCCCTTTGTCACTTCTTCCGTGTCCGTTGCATAATTTTTTTAGTTTGAGGGATTAAAACCGAATCCCTAAAACCCTAGTTGTGTGTTTTTTGTTTCCTCCTACAGAAAGAAGAAACAGTGGGCTGTGCCCTCATAGGGCCCTCGTGCACGTACTCCACCTTCCAGATGTAGTAAGTAGTTTGCTTCGCTGTTTGTTGTCTTAATAGTATCGTGAATTGAAGTCAAGGTTGGACATTGCAATTTAACTGGTTCCTCCAACAACAGTGTTGTCAGCGCATCACAGTCAGGCGTGCTGAGGCGTCAGCATTGTGCCGTCTCTCTGTAACTTTCATCCCTTTATCCAGATAACTTTACGTTTGTTCAGTGAGGGGTGAATCACCGCAGCTGTTCAGCTGAGTTACTAGCACCTGAGCTTAAGGAGCAACGTGGTGTAGGTAAAAAGAACGTTGACAGGAAGCAGGGGAGCCAGTGAAGTTGGACAATTTGAGGAGTTAAATCAATAAAATATTCACATCGGTATGGGCAGAGGGCAGGAAAACGCAAAAGGAAGTGAGCGCCTCAGGCTGTTAGAGGGGCTCTAACCGTGGGTCTGTGAAAGGAGGGAAAATGACAAGCCTTTATTCCATAGGGTTATTGGAGGATTGTATCAGCAACATGTTGAAGTACTTTGCACAGTACTCTTAGCATCTGAGAAAAAAGCTTCCAATATATTTTAGAATGGAAATATGTTTCTGGCTTTGGGAAAATCACTCTTTCCCTCCCATTCATTTCATGCAGTGTAATTTGCATCAGTGCAAAACACTTTGTTCTCCTGATCATGCCTTTGCCAGTCAAAATCCCTCTCAAATACCTTTCTTTCACCTGTTCAGGCTGACCCTGAGTCAAATATTGTCTTTTATCTACACAGAGAAAGTTCTGTAGAAAGATTCCTTGCAGTAGATTTCAGAGGGTAAACAGACCTCTGAAATTTCTGTTGAAAAGTGCTTTTTTTTCCTTGAGACAAAGTCTCACTATGTCGCCCTCAATAGAGTGCTGTGGGATCACAGCTCACAGCAACTTGAAACTCTTGGGCTTAAGCAATTCTCTTGCCTCAGCCTCCCAGGTAGCTGGGACTACAGGCACCCACCACAATGCCCAGCTATTTTTTTGTTGTAATTGTTGTCTGGCAGGCCCGGGCTGGGTTTGAACCCTCCAGCTCAGGTGGACATGGCTGGTGCCCTAGCCACTGAGCTATAGGCACCGCGCCTGCAAAATGCTTTTGGTGCTTCACCCCCATGGTACAGACAGATGCTCAGGCCCACAGCATCCCACCAGTACATCCCACCAGTACACCACACTTTTTAAGTCCATCTTCTGTGACAAAATGTAGACAGGTACAGACTCTTACTCTTCCTTGCTCTCGTTCCCAGCCATCATCTAATAACTTGGTAATATTGCTATTGAGTACAATCAGAAGGAAAGGAGGATTGGGAAAATCAACTCACCCTTGTATGTGCAGGGAAGCATTTTAGTGGTGTGGGAGGAGAGTAGAACCCAGCCTCTACCTAGCCAAGGACTCTGCTGACCAACACAAGGCAGAGAGCAAAAGCTTCCACCAGAGAAGTGCAAACGAGAAGCGGCAGAATGCCCAGCAAAAAAGGGTCCCCTCTGGGTGAGGGGGGCCAAACTTTGAGAGGAGAGAGACTTCATGAAGGAGATGGTATCTTTTGCTCATTGAAGACTGGGTAAAATTTTAATGAGAGGATAAGCTTTCCAGCCAGGCAGAGAGAGAAGTCTACATAAGAAGCAAAGAAGCAGAGAGGTGGCGGACTTTTGTGACAGTCTGCATGAACAGGAGTTCGGGAAATGTATAGAGGAATAATAGAGACAGAAGACTAGAAAAAGTAAGTGGGGCCATGCCTGGAAGTTCATGGAAGGGAAGTCCAGGTGAAGGATGCATTTCATGAGATTTACGTCAGAAACCACTACGGTTTGTGCCATGAGAAGAAGCTTAACTTTGAAAAGAATAATTGGCCACAGTGTGTAGGAGAGAGACAGGCAGGGACTAATGTCAGGAAAGTCAGCGGGGACAAGGGCCTAAACCAGTAACAGAGCTGTGGAGGCAGGACAGGAGGATGGCTGAGAAGAGAGTGGAAGTAGAATCAAGGGAACTTGAGAACTGATTGGCTGTGGGGGGGAGGGACAGAGAGTAGCCAAAGAAGCCTTTGAGATAACAAAACACTACAAGAAATGGAAAAATCAGGGTAAGGAGCAGTTCTGAGGAAGAAAAGAATTGATACATCTGCTATAAACACGATGAGTTGGAGATGCGAGCCTGGACCCTGAAGGTGGGAGGTGTTGTTTTCCTTCCTTCATTAGCTATACCCTGAGCACCCGCATACCAGCCAGGCAGACGGGCGATGCTGAGGGGACAGCCAGGCATGACCCCTGCCTTCAAGGAGCTTACAGATATTAAGTTCTAATGGGGAAGATAGATATTAAACAGAGAAAGTAATTACCTGGTCTTGGGTATCGAGGAAAGTTTTTCTGATAAAGAGATGTGTAGTTGAGGACCTGAGAAATGAATGAGTGATTCTGGCAGAGAGGCAGGGCAATATCCTTCCTGGCATTTGTCAGGCCTGCTTGGGGATGAAGCTTGATATATTTAGGGACGTACAAGAAGGTCCAGGTGCTGAGCAGGGGAAAAGCTCTCAAATCTTTAACCGATGTCTGTCTCAAGGACAGCTCACAGCAATGACTGCATGGAGGAAGAGGTGCAGCGGGCACCTTACACTCAACGGTGGCTGTGGCGGCCCATCCTCTATTTCCTTAGCACTACGTCCCAGCCCAGATGCCACGATAACTCATTTTGGAATAACCAGTTGAACAATATGCTGTGTTTCGTGAATAAACCCCCCTCCAATGTGCTTGAGACATAGCACATTGTTCAATGAACGTTGCTTTAGTTTCCTGTGTGTGGGAGGGACACCTGTATGAATGAGAAACCTGCCCTTGTGACCCGGTTTCGTTCTTGCCCTTATATGGACATGTTGAAACAGGTGAAAAAGGAAGCTTATTTGTGCTACTTAAGTTAATCCTGATCCTGGTTTCTTTCTCACCTCTTGGCATAGCCTTGACATGGAGCTGAGCTACCCCATGATTTCAGCTGGAAGTTTTGGATTGTCGTGTGACTATAAAGAAACCTTGACCAGGCTAATGACTCCAGCCAGGAAATTGATGTACTTCTTGGTTAACTTTTGGAGGATCAATGATATGCCATTTAAAACATTTTCCTGGAACTCTTCCTATGTTTACAAGGATGGCACGGAGTCTGAGGACTGTTTCTGGTAAGCAAGATCATTAATATTCAGCTAGCCCTTGCTGTGGAGAGAAGCCAGGGAGTCATGGCAAGTCACCTATTTGTTAGCTGACGTGCCTTCCACCTCTAACAGTGTTGGGAATGGACACCAGCCCGCTATTTTACACAACATAAGAGCAAAGAGGCCAAAATGAATATCGAGTTGTAAAAATAAGCTACGTAGATTGCATCTGCAACACTTTCTAGTTTCAGAAGTACATTCACATTAGTTTTATTGATTCCCCAGGGTAAATTCTCTGAAGAAAACAAGTAATATAACCCCCATTTTACAGATAAATAAAATGAAAACTACAAGTTAGGGTTTTTGTATTGCTGTGTAAGATATGATACCAGAGAATGAGCGTCCTGATTGTGCCTATATTTGTTAGAAAAAATTTCTTTCACACCTTTCCAGAGGAGCGAGAGGTGGGGAGAATAGGAATAATGGGCTCCATTGCTAAAAAAAAAAATTGCAAGGTTCACTCAACTCCAATGAAAGTAGTCGAGGGAATCTTCTGATCAGGTAACTGTTACTCTCAGGATGTGACTTGGTTGTGCAGTCTTCCTCCACCTAAGTATGCAGAAGAGTAAGGTGAAATGCCACCAGGGATATGCCCAAGGAAGTACAGGAATCAGCCCTGAGACCTCATCTTAGAAACTTTAGGGTGAACTTAGAACACACAAAATTCCATTTCACATAAGACGGAAATTATTCCTATCAACTCTGAATTGTCGTACTGTAGATTCAACAGTTTTAAACGTATCTGTGATAATGAGACTGGTTTGCAGAGCAGAGTAGAATCTTCCTTCTGCAAGGAGCAGGAAACCATCACAAGGGACCCACCAAAAGTCCACTACGTGCACATATATGGGAAGAATCCCTAACCCACCGCGTACTTCCACTAAATTAGCTGTTCGCAATGCATACCAGTGGTATCATGGTGTGCTGTGTCTAGTATGTTAACAGTGGGAATGAATTTTAGAAGAATGAGTCCCAGGCCAGATCTGCAAATATAAGGTGAAAGGCGTGGAAGCCCCTAAGGGAACTGAGCTGGTTTCTTGGTTTCTCTTTTTCCTGTTCTAGGTACCTCAATGCTCTGGAGGCTGGAGTTTCCTATTTTTCCCAGGAACTCAGTTTTAAGGAGACATTGAGAAATAAGGATCAGTTTCAGGCTATCTTAACAGACCGCAACAGGAAAAGCAATGGTAAGAAGACAAAAAGTTCGTTTTTTTTTTGCCAATTTTTGCTTCTACCATCTCTTTCTGAGTCACTTAGACAAATCTAGCACTGCAGGGCTATTATCTTTACCTGTATATATTTTGTGTATTTGGGGAGGTGCGTAACTTCATGTGACTTCATTATATGTGGTCTCATTCCTTTCATTGACTAATACTACTAAAAGTAGTATTGAGTAATTATATTAACATAACAAAAGTAATGATAATGCTAAACTCCAGCTTTCATAAATGGAAAGAATACCATGACCCACTATCAGTGAACTGCTTTTTAAGTTCACCTCGATGCGACTTACTATTGGATTTGTGACTAATCCTCACGCATTCTGAATCCTGATACCCCCAGTGTCCAAAAGGGTAAATGCATTGATTATACAGCCTCGGGAAAAATCACAGGACAAGCAAAGATCCTCTTGCCTTCCTAATCTTTCTGTATCTCACTAACCCAATGGTCTCCCAGTTACAGGCCAAGTGTAGAAGGCTAATGGGATAAAATCATCCTAAGTTATTAGGGGATTTGGTAGAGTTCCCACATAATTCTGTCTACAGACAAGAATATCTCAGAAGCAAAGGAATCGATTGTGGGAATTTCAAGGAAAGAGCCTTGCTTGGCAGATTTCCTGATACCACTCAGATCGTCTACTGCCATTACCAAGCAGGGGATACATTACGAATGTACCAGTTGCAGACAAATATGAAGAAAGGAGAAGAAGTATAAAATTATTTATATCCCTAAAGAGTTTACAATTCAACTAAATACACAGCATATGAAAAGATCTACCAAAGTGTCTCCCAACTCCTGTTACTCTTACAGCCTTGCATTCCCTAGGCAGCTGGCTGAAATTAGTGGTGGAACTTCAGATTGGACACTGTCACTGACATAAATAAGATGGAGTTTTAAGTTAAGCTCCAGACACAGCCCAGGGAACACTGTTCGGGAAGACTTCCTAAATTCTGCCCACATTCATTTTTACTATATCGTTTCCAACCACTTTTATAAGTCGTGAGGTGCCCTTCACTTTGCTATGAAAATAGCTTTTGTAACCACTCCAGCCTAGTATGATGGAATAAACCCTAAACCAAGACTCATAAACTTGACTGTGAGAGCTATCTTCTATCATCTACTAGCTCTTTGACCCTTTGGCACCTTGGTTTCAGCCTCTTTAAGTCTATAAAATGAAGGGAATGAGCTAAGTGGTTTTTTCAAAGATCTCACGTAGCTCTATTCTGACTCTACTAGCTGTAAATGAAAAAATAATAAAAATTCAGGAGAGAATTTGAGGAACTGGTGTTAATCTTGTTAATCTTAAAAAAAAATGTAACATGTACATAGTGGATTCAAATTCCGGCAACTGTGTTTCCCCCCATGTGTGTGTGGACCATCATATATTTCTCCCCTTGTCCTGCTCTCTTCTCAGTGATCGTTACGTGTGGCACACCAACCAACATCAGCACCCTCAAGGGTAACCACACAGCGGCTGAAGACATTATCATTATTCTAGTGGATCTATTCAAGTAGGTATAATATTTGGAAGAAACTGCTTCCTTCCAGAAAGGACATGTTCCAAGGATTTGCTGGAGACCTTTTCTTTTCTCTTGCTTTGCACAGCCTCTTATAGGGCTCAGTAGAATGGTAATATCCCAACTAAAGTTCCATTCTTTCTTCTTTTTTTGTTTTTTGCCTTGCAATTATTGAATAATTTATTCTACACATTCTGTCTGTCCCATTTTTTAAATTTCGGGTTAATCCAAGGTACATACGATTGGGTTACGTTATTGGCATTTGTAAGATAAAGTCCAACGTGTACCATATCTCCCTACATTGTACCTGATAGGTGGGAACTTACCGAGCCCCTTCCATATTAATAGTAAATAAACTGCTAAGTATGGTATCTATACTGAATTAATCTTCTTTTTCTTGGCTGGGTGTGGTGGCTCACACCTATAATCCTAGTATTCTCAGAAGCCCAGGCAGGAAGATTGCTTGAGAGTTTGAGACCAGCCCAAAGAAGTGTGAGCCCTTGTCTTTATGAACATTAGAAAAGTAAGCCATTGTGCCGGGCACCTGTAGTCCCAGCTACTTGGGAGGCTGAAGCAGGAGGATCGCTTGAACCCAGTACTTTGAGGTTGCTGTGAGCTAGTTTGACACCATGACCCTCTAGCCTGGGCAACACAGTGAGACTCTATCTCAAAAAAAAACTTTTTTCTTTTTCTTTAATATGTTATTTGTTATTTTTTTCTGGTTGAAAAAAAATTCTTTTTAATTTCAGGTTAGTGTGAAGGTATAAACAACCAAGTCACAACATTTGAATTTGTTAGGTAGAGTCCCTCTTGTAGCTATGTCCATCCCATTCTTTCTTAATCACACCCTCATTCTTGAATCAATTATAGCATTCATTTATGAGACCTACTCTGTCAACATCAGCATCCTGATTTACAGCCTGGTTTTAAGGTCTTTGTCCAGGAGATGACGAATCACCTAATGACTCAATAATATTATTCCTGGGAATGTAAGCCACATTTTTCCCTTCAGTTGCTAATGACCTTTGGTCCTAGATTACTTTTACCTCTGATAAGAGTAGAGTTTCAATTATACGTCTGATTTACAAAATCATTCTTTGCCCTCTGTAGCACAGTCACGAGGTAATGACTTCTTTGGGAGTAAGGCGAGCAAATTTTAGACAGAAGAAACACCTTTTGTCACATCCCTATCTTTTTTTTTTTTTT